AAAAAAAAATCTTTATAATACTTTTGAAAATGCAGAACAATTAATAAAACTTATTTGTTAAGAATTCTATTTAGGGTACTTTTATATCTGGTATTCGCAGTTCTAAGTCTTTCAGTTATTTCTTTTTCAAATTGTGAATCATTAAATGGTGTTGAAGAACATTGTTGGATAATCTCTAAAAATTAAGAAAAATATGGGTTTATAAATAATTAATTATTAATCTTAAATACACAATTATGTTTGGCAATTAATTAAGGAAGATATATTGCTCGCATAGGCGCAAAGATTATTAAACATTTATAATTTATTATAATTACTTTTCACTATTTTGATAAGTTCGGTTTCTTTTAATTTAGTCATATCCTTCACCCACCCACGTCCAGTCCATGAAATATGTACACAGTATTCATCTGTAAACAATTTACTCATGACTCTTTTTATATGATTTGCAGCACATATACCGCCTATGCTTTTTATATACGATTCCTATAAACAATAACTCTAACAGTTATATATGCTATTGATTTGGTATTAAAAGATTTTATATTACCAGTTTAAGAACAAACTCAGTTTCATTTTTTATAAGATTTTCAATTGATAATAACTCATCTGCATTTTTAAGAGGAAAGTAACTCAAAAAAGTTGGATCAATGTATACAGTTGGAACAATGCTTTGAGAAGTATTTTTAAAATTGGCTTCTATTACTTCAATTTTTGCAAATATGCGATTCAACATCAAATTTATAGCAGTTTGACCTTGTAAGATAGTATTGCTTAATGTATCTAATTTATCTTCATAAAACCCTAATTCAATAATAATAATAGGTATAAACAGAGATATTAAAATTATTCTTTTTTACATAATATTTGATTTAAAGTTTAATAATGTTACCATAAGTATTGGTGTTTGGAGTGGTATATAATTGCTGTCTATTCTGTGCACTTGTATACCTACTTTATAAATTTAAGTATAATACATAGATATATAAATAATAGCAATATGTTTTAATTGTTTAATAGACCATTTGTATGAAATGTATAAAATTAATTAATATTTAACTTTAATGTATTAAGTTAGGGGTACTCTTAAATTTTAAAATTTTAAAAATTACTTGTTCATCTTGAGGTGGTTGGTAAGCTGAACTTGACTGAACATAATATGGTATTTGATCCACTGAAGATTTCTTACTCATTTGATCCGATAATAATGATGGTAATGTTTTATTTGGTTGCATTGTGCATTGTTTTAGTAAGGGTGAACTATTCACTGGTTGTAGTTCTGTATAGTGTACATCCTTTTCATAGCTGGGTAAATTTAATGCAGAAGTAGATGCAGGTGTTATACAATACCCTGAATGATCTGAACACAATTGTTCAAGCCGCCGCCTTTTTTCCTGGAAACCGGTCCACGTGAGCGTGTGGCGGACGAAGAATGTTCGAGAACTTCGCCCGTATCGGTCGTTGTCGCGCACTGCTCGTTATCACCAGCCGGCTTTTCGCTGGTCATATACCTGTGTACGCGACAACGAGTCAGTCTGCCGTAAGCTGTTGTGGTGTGCGTAGTTTTTGTGTCGCGCGTCATACGACGTCTCTACAACCCACAACAGCAGTACGAAACCACTCGTTTTTGTTTTGCACGACGCGTTCGGTCGAGCTGTCGTTGCACCCGTTCGCCGTCGCCGCACGTAGCGTATTATTTTTGTGGTTTGGCAGTATTATTGTGAGCCGTTCGTCGAGTGCGACTCGTTTTGCCCGTTGGCCATTGCGTGTGTTAAACGGTTGATTAGAGGTGCACATACGCTGTCGTCGACCCCGCCACCTTCCGTCGTTGCAGTCGCCGTCTTCGGCACCGCCACTCTCCACCGGTGCATAGGCCGTCGTCGACACCGTCACCCTATGTCCGTGAAGTTAGCCGCCCAACATCAACCCAACGAATTCATATTTGGTCATCCTTTAGTAAGTCATTAGTAAGTATTTGTAAGCACAAAATCAGAATTTGTAAGTTAACAACTTTCAGATTATCCCTGAAAGTTTACCAGCCGGGTCACTTCAACTTTTCGAAAGTTTTATTCCACCCCCGCAAAGTAGTCCATTAGTAAGTATTTGTAAGAGCAAATTCGAACTTTGAAAGTTATTATTTTCAAAGTTATGGCACCCTAAAGTTTAGCCAGCCGGGTCACTTAAACTTTTCGAAAGGGTAGGTTGCTAAAATACAATTTTTCTGAGCTATTATCTTTACAATTACCATGACCAAAGTTTTTTTACTATAAACTTTATAAAATTGTTATAAATAATATTAAAATATCTAATATGATTTTAAATATTTTATAATACTTATTAATATTAGGTACACTATAAACTCCCATGTATAGAAAACAGAAAGAGAATACATATTAAACATCTTCTATTATTATTATCGTTTCTTCATCAAGTTCTTGTGGTATGGAATCGTCTTCTTCATCCTCTATTTCTATTTCATCGATTCCCGCAATTTGTTTTTTCAGAAGTATCTTCGACTTTTCACTTTCACTTGGAGTATTGTAATCATTATATCCTTCATATAAGCTATTGGATGTTATTAAAACATTTTTAATAACTATCTCAGCATTTTTCAACGTTGTGCACATTACTATTCTGGATATAAGTTTAAGATAAAATTTTTTTACATCGATATTTGTTCCTTTAAAACAGGACCAGTTACTTACAAATTTCATGACGTGCGCATAATCAACCCGAATAAATGTTTTCAAAGTATAATTTGATTTCATTGAAACAATAGAAAACGATTTATCCATGTAAGATTTTAAACTTACTTCGCCCGCAATCGATCTAGATACACCTCCTAATAATGCTAATGAATGGTCACAAATTATAATGTTTGGTATTTTTGCATATCTGATCCAATCTGAAAGCCAATAATTGATCTGGTTAATATTATGGCATTCTGATAACATCTGTGTAATAGGTATCTGTCCACTTCGTGTTCCTGTGTGTATGACTCCTTGATATAAAAATATATGACCAGAAATGTTATTATTAGGCCTCTCAATTTTTTTACATAATGTCCCTGTGGCGTCAATATACAATTAACTACGTTTTTGTTTACGAATATAATCATTAAATATAATGGTTTGACTTGGAGTCCAATAAAAAATATAAAAAGGATCTAATCCTATTTTGTGGATGCTTGAACAATATTTTTCTTCATATTTCAAACACAAAAGAGATACTAGAACATTTTTTTCCGATGAAATTTCTTTGAATTGTGTCTTATCTTTGTACTCTTGACGAGACTTGCGTAAAACATCCAACGAATAAAGTTTACGATTGTTTGAATTTTCAGATACGTGTTCTCTCCTCCAATTTACTGCCATTTTTCCATCACATAACCTCTTTGAAACGTTATTTCTTTCTATTCCGGACAAAGGTCGTTTCATTATATTAGAATGCTTTTTTTCATTTACATCGTTCAACTTATAAGAAAATCGTACTGGTTCATTACTTTTTAGTTTGTTAATACATCTTAAATCAATTGTTGCATTACATTCTTTGCAGTATCCTTGACAATTAAAGTAGCATCCAGACGTAGATAAATTTAATGAATGTCTTTTGAACATCCAAATACAATTAGTTTCCAGTTGTGTCGAAAGAATTTCAAACATTGTATGTGTCCAGTCAGTTTTCATTGAATAATTATCATCAGGAGAAAGTAATGATAACCAAACGTGATTATTAATAACAAACATTTTTTCATCATTATCATCATTATTTTCTGTAAGACTTGTAAAACTCAAAACATCGTCATCTTCATCATTTTCTGAATCAGCTTTGCCACTGATTCCTAAAATATCATGGCAGTTCAATCGATTGCACTTGATAATTGTGTACAATGCTGTTGGTTTGATCTTGTTTCCAAAATGAAAACATATTCTGTCCCATAGTGGATCAGTACTTTTACCAAATGCATTTAATATTTCGGTTCTGAACAACTTCAGAACCTCTATCAACTCATGCTTATCGTAGTTACACTTTCTTCCACCCATCTGAAATTAAACAGTAAATATGATCGATATTTCCTGTTAGGTAGAATTGTTTAGAATACAATCTAATTATAAAAAAATAACCAATAAATAAAACATTACAACCAATAACTAACCACCATATGATGAGCGGAGTGAATAAGAATAATTTTTTGCTTTTTAAGTTTTCTACTTCATCATAGTATTAACTGGTAGGAAAGTGAATCTAGTTGGTAGTTATTAAAGTTTCCAATTAATTTTGTAGTTAGAAATACAGAGTAATTTTAGATTCTGAGCGAAGCGATGAATGTATTGATTTTACAATGTGTGTTTTTTTTTTTTTTTTTGTGTCTGTCATCACCTTTTAGGACAGTAACAATTTTTAACAAAATTGATTTTGGTTTTTGGTGTAACTCTAAAGCAAATGACCATAGATGCATGAAATTTTCACTGGTTGTTTATATTTGCATTTTCTATAAACGATAAAATTTTGAAAATAATTTGACTTTTTTTGAACAGTTAAAGGACATTGTCAGTTTTCAATTTTTTTAGTTTTTTTTTCTATAAATATCAATAAAATTTTATTTGTTGGGTAAAAAAGCGTGAAAATTTAATGCAAGGCTCCCGCTATATTGTTACAATAGAAGTTGAAAAATATAAAAATACGATTATTTGTTAAAACCAATCTGGTTGTTCATTAACATTTTTTATAATAAAAATTTTATTTTAGATTCTGAGCGAAGCGAGGTATGTTTTGGTTTTACAATGATGTTTATTTATTTTTATTTTTTATTCTGGAAACACTTTTTCTCTTCCTAAACTTGGTCAAAAATATCAAGTGTAGCATCTTTTCTGAAAGGTAATGTTCTTGAGCTGGTACTTTAGAGAGGTTATTTTTCGATTTTTGAACGGTACTCGAAATAAATGGGAAAAACCACGGAAAAATTACGAAAAAATGGGATTTCAATTTCTAACGCTTTGTTTATCACCTAAAAACGAAAATATTTTTGAAATATTTATGTTCATAATTTCATATACCTAGACAAACATACCGCCTTCACTCAGAATCGTTTTTCTTTCACAATGATATTATATAATTGGATTCAAATTTAATACCATCCAATATCCAGTGTTCGGACTTATCTAGATAAATATATATAGATCTAATAGATGAATATCTAGATAATTATTTATTCATCTTTTATCTTATCTAGATAAATAGTTACAAGGTATCTAAACGTTCATCTTAGATAATTTTTTTACTAATCTAAATAAATTCATCTAGATACATTTTTATTCATAAAAATCGCGAAATTATACAAAACTTTTTAATATTTATACAGATTCTCAAACAAAGTTTATGGTTTATAAATAATATAATTATTTTTATTTATATCATGATTATTATTATGTTCCTAGTGCCCAACTAAAATATACCAACATTTAAAACCATTTATAAAATATAATTGTATCTTTTTTTTTATCTAGATTAAAATGTATTTACCTTTATCTTTATCTAGATAAAAAAATACTTATCTAGTCCGAACACTGCTAATATACAGTGACCAACTTATAATCAACTGTACAGGAACTTGCCAACCTTTTTTTTTTTATATAGAAATAGTAGTAAAGTTGAAAGTGTTTGCTACTGTACAAAAAAAGTTAACTTCTCAATACACCATATGTAGGTTTTACAGGTACACATGTTATACATTGAAATTGATGTATTCGCCGCTGTGGTTATAAGATGAGGGTTGTACATGGATAAACAAGAACACTGATAATATATTTACAGTAAAATTAGTTTGATTTATTAAAACTACGATTTTCTGAACTGTACTGCACATCTGCACTACACTAAATACTACACTTCCGGCTCTCGCGTTGCCATGAGAAGCCATCGGTCGCTTGCGCCGCTCATTTGCTGATAGCAGCGTTTTAGTGATCCCACTGTCGCGTAGATATATACAATAATTATACATTACATCATAATAATATATTATGCTATAATATCTTATACTAACTATAATACCCATACAACATTATTTTAGGCGACGAAACGATAATAATAATAGAAGATGTTTAATATGTATTCTCTTTCTGTTTTCTATACATGGGAGTTTATAGTGTACCTAATATTAATAAGTATTATAAAATATTTAAAATCATATTAGATATTTTAATATTATTTATAACAATTTTATAAAGTTTATAGTAAAAAAACTTTGGTCATGGTAATTGTAAAGATAATAGCTCAGAAAAATTGTATTTTAGCAACCTACCCTTTCGAAAAGTTTAAGTGACCCGGCTGGCTAAACTTTAGGGTGCCA